GTGGCCAAACTAATCATAAAACAAACAATACTGTAACAAATTCAATAAGGATTTTAAAAACAACCTACATAAAAAAAATAAAAAATAAAAGATATGTTGTACTGTGGCCCTGGCCCTCCATTGATCTCTCTCTCTCTTGCTCCAATAAAAAATAGTCCATCCTTCTGATAGGTATCCTTATTATTTTGTTTTGTTCTCATGTATTTTCTTTTGTGGAGAAAAAAAAAAAACTGATTGGTGGCATTTTCCCCAATGGGTCATGTTTGAAATCACTTCCTTCCCTCCTGGGCTAGATGGCAAGGGGCAGCTCTGCCATGTGCATATGCTTCTGAACAATGACCTGGGCTTGTGTCTCTCCCACCCCCACCCCAACACACATATGTACGCCACCCTTGTAAAGAGAGTTCTTGTCCTCCAGAGACAGAATTTATGCTAGTTTGGTTTTAGTTCAGGAGGGTGCCAGCCTCAGCTCCTGCCTGGGCTCAGGGTCGAGGATCCAGCTTTGCTGTCTGCCTTCCCGGGGCACCCCTGGCGCCTACTGGGCTCCCTCCGCATGCCCTGCCCCTCAGACCTCCAGGAGAGGAGTCCTGGGTTCAGCCCAGAGTCCCCATTCCTCACTTACCACCCCCCCCACACACACACACACATTCATTCACACATTCATGCACTTGTGCACACACTCACACACATTCACTTTCCTCTTGAGCAGTTCTCTGATATCAACTGTCCTACAGTTGTAGGATGTCCTACAATTCAATTCTGACACTACCCAAAGTGAACACGGACCCCATAAGTTAAAGGGAAGGTTCCTCCAAAGACCACTCTTACTGCAGATGCCAGACACAAGTGGGGTCCCCAGGATCCCCACACTTCTGACCTGGCTGCAAACATGACCCCCTCTTTAGATCTGATAATGTGCTAGAAAGGTCCAGAGGACTCACTGAAAGCATTGTGCTATGTTGACAGTTTGATTATAAAACTTAAGAGCAGCTGAGCGAGAGACACACAGGGATGAGGTCTGGGTGGGGAGGGCCCCACGGAGCTCCCACACCCTCGCCCCATGGAGTCTGGGCACAACGCCCTCCCCGCATGATCAGTGTGTTGCCAACCAGGAGATTAAATCACTGCCCTGGCCTTGAACTCTCTGCAGTCCCGCTTCCCTCCCCAGAGGTAGAAGTGGGTCTGTGGGTTCCAGTCCTCTAATTATGTGACCGTCTCTCTGGAGCAGCCCCTTCTTTAAGGTCCTGTCTGAGCCACCTGTTAACACAAACTCACATGTGGTCCAAAGGGGCTCTTTATGAACTTTCTGATAAGCCCCCCATCACACAGGAAATTCCAAGGGTTTCGGAACCTCTGTGCCAGGAACCGGGACAAAGACCAGATGCATTTTTTTATAGCACCCACAGGATTATTCTCATACATACACACACATACACATACTCATTCTCTCTCACACATACACATACGCACTCATTCTCTCTCTCTATCACACACACACACACACACACACACATACTCACTCACTCCCACATTCCCTCACACATGCTGATTCCCATGGGCCTGATAGGTATGAGGTACCTGGATCTTGATGAAAATGAAAGAGGAGAGTGAAAAAGCTGGCTTAAAGCTCAACATTCAAAAAACGAAGATCTTGGCATCTGGTCCCATCACTTCATGGCAAATAGATGGGAAAACAATGGAAACAGTGACAGACTTTATTTTCTTGGGCTCCAGAATCACTATAGATGGTGACTGCAGCCATGAAATTAAAAGATGCTTGTTCCTTGGAAGAAAAGCTATGACTGATCTAGACAGCATATTAAAAAACAGAGACATTACCTTGCTGACAAAGATCCATCTAGTCAAAGCTACGGTTTTTCCAGTAGTCATGTATGGATGTGAGAGTTGGAACATAAAGAAGGCTGAGCACTAAAGAATTGATGCTTTTGAACTGTGGTGTTGGAGAAGACTCTTGAGAATCCCTTGGACTGTAAGGAGATCAAACCAGTCAATCCTAAAGGAAATCCGTCCTGAATATTCATTGGAAGGATTGATGCTGAAGCTGAAACTCCTATACTTTGGCCACCTGATGTGAAGAACTGACTCCTTGGAAAAGACCCTGATGCTGGGAAAGATTGAAGGCAGGAGGAGAAGGGGTCGACAGAGAATGAGATGGTTGGATGTTATCACCAACTCGATGGACATGAGTTTGAGCAAGCTCTGGGGGTTGGTGATGGACAGGGAAGCCTGGCGTACTGCAGTCCATGGGGTTGCAAAGAATCAGACACAACTGAGCGACTGAACTGAACTAATGCTTACCTGTATCTCTGAAGAGAAGTCAAAGTGACCTCTTTTCTTTGAAAGGTGCATTTGTAGGGGCAGTTCAGGTCCAGGTGAATATATCTGCTCAGAGATGTTGCTGCTCATAGCAGTCAAGGTTGTGCCAGGAGTGCAGAGAGGCACCTAGAGGCGAGCCCGCCTCCTGCTAGGTCCCCGAGGAGGTGCCTTCTAGGTGGGGTGCCGGCACCCCCACCCACAGCCCATTTCTGCCCCAGAAGCCTCTCTACTGCCTTCCTCCACCACTGGGTTTGCAGATTGTCTCCAGCCCTGTGCGAGGAGAGGCTGGTAACCTCATTTCTGACCTCAGTTCAAGGACTAATGGATGCCTTGCTCCCAGGAGGCACTCTCCCAGAGAGCAGACGCTTAAACCAAGAGACCACCCTCTGTGGGCCGGGTACAGGGCTCAGGATCTCGTGCTAAAGGGCCTGAGCTCAGATCCCAGGCCCAGCCCTAAAGAGCCTGGCGGGCTATGGTCCATTAGAAGAAAGTGTTAGTTGCTCAGTCATGTCTGACCCTTTGAGACCCCATGGACTGTAGCCCAACAGGCTCCTCTGTCCATGGAATTCCCCAGGCAAGAATACTGGAGTAAGTTGTCATTTCCTCCTCCAAGGGATCTTCCCAACCCAGGGATTGAACCTGGGTCTCCTGAATTGCAGGTGGATTCTTTACCACTGAGTCACCAGGGAAGCCGCAAGGGGCTATGGTCCATAGGGTTACATAGAATCGGACATGAATGAAGCAACCTAGCCTGCATCGACAATTTAATGGCATTGAATTAGTAATTCTAATACTATAGCGTTATCATCATAAATTTGTCGTTGTTGTTCAGTCAAAGTCCAGTCCGACTCTTTGCAACCCCATGGACTGCAGCACGCCAGGCTTCCCTGTCCTTCACTGTCTTCCGGAGTTTAGTCACTTTCATGTCCATTGAGTCAGTGATGCCATCTAACCATCTCTTCTGCCTCCCTCTTCTCCTTTTGCCTTCAGTCTTTCCCAGCATCAGGGTCTTTTCCAGTGAGTCAGCTCTTTGCATCAACTGGCCAAAGTATTGGAGCTTCAGCTTCAACATCAGTTGAGTAGTAATCAGTTGGAATGGCAGGGAATTTGGAGCATCACCCAAGAGGTGGTGGGACAGTGCCTTGGAGGGAGAAGGGAAGAAGCACCATCTCCATGTTCCTCCAGAGCCTCTTATGCTTGGGGCCATGTGCTCTGGAGGTCCCAGTAGCCCTGCTCCCCAAATTTTTCTCAGCATCTTTGACCAGGCTCCTGGTCTTCAAAACTCTAGCCTGGGCTCTTGGGAGGGGCTTAGACCCCTTGTTGGGGATTAGGGGTTACAGTGACCAAGTCCTTTCTCAGGAAAAGAAGGACCGACCCTACCCTGGGGGGAAGACCACTCCTCTCCCTCTTCCCCAGGTGGACGCCATGCTCTGGGAGGCTGGGGAGATTCCAGAAGGTGTCTGTTATCACTTGAAATGAGGGATGATCCTGAGTGGGGTCAATGGAGGCTAAAAAGAACATTTTTAAAACCACAGAGTCTGTGAAAGGAAGCAGGGGCTCCCTCCCCATGATGGCCTTCTGGGGTTGGGGGGCACAGCCCCAGGGCGGCTGTGGCTTTGACAAGGGAAAACTTCAGAGTCCCAGTCCCTTTAGCTGAGCACAGTGGTCGTCTGGAGCAGGAGAAGTAAAAGTGAAGCATCTATAAACTTGCTGGCTCTGGTTTAGACTTCAGGTAATGCTTGGTTACTACAGCACAGATAGGTCCTCAGGGCTCAGAAGCATCATTTTCGACTAGAGCAAATCCACAGGAGAAGAAAGGACAAGTTCCCCTCAGGCGGGATGTGGGGAACAGAGAAGGGCTGCAGGGCCTGGGGTCCAGAGCGTGGATACCAGTGACCTGGGCTGAATCCCAGCTCTACCCCATCAGCTATGAGGCTTTGGCCAGGAACAGCCTTCAGGGTGCGTCCTGGGGCCCAAGCCCATACAGGTACTTCCTCAGTCAGTCTTCACATCAGCCTGAAGAGCCAGGTCCTGTTAGAGCCAGGGAGCACCTCAGTTCCTTCATCTGTGAAGCAGGGGTAACAGCAAAACTCAACGTCACAGTGTTATTGGGAGGGTTAAGCAAGTAAACATATGCAAAGCATTCCTAACAGTTGCTGTCACAGCACCAGCTGTATATTAGTTATTTGCTATTTTTGTTTCCATGGGGGAAAAAATAGTGTGACTTGACTAATATCTATGATTGTTTCCAGCCTCCCCCAGAGCATATGTGGTAGGGTGTGAGTTGAAATTCAGCCGTTATGTTTGTGCTTTTCTAAAAGTAGTCCCCAGACCTCTACCTGTACCAGATTCGACCCAACCCCGCCCCCAACAAACCAGCATCTCAGAGGGTGGGGACACAGGAATCTGCCTTTATTTAGTTGACCTTCACTTCCACACACAAATGAGAAACTGAGGCTCAAGGATCCACGGCACATGGGCCAGGTGACACATGGCTCTTGGGACAGAACCCCTACTTGTCCTTGGGAATGCTTAACTCCACCCCCCCACCCCACCCCGCCTCTTGGTTTCTGGAACTTTCCAGATGACTCCCATCTCACAGTTGTCCTTCCAACCTCCTGCCACATCTTTGACTCACGGAGTGCCCTCTTTCTCCATTGCAGACGTTCCTGGTCCGCCGAGACAGCAGCTTGAAGCACCTGGTGCTCTGTGTCCACTTCCCTTCCCTGAACGAGAGCTCATCCGAGGTGCTCGAATACACCATTAAAGAAGAAAAATCGAGTGAGTACCATCTTCCCGTTCTGCCTCCAACCATATAGCAGCAGCAGATGCTACACCCTGTAACCACAGACACTCCTCTCAGGCCAGAAGGCTCTAAAATTAGAAGAAGGGGGCCAGCTTTCATCTGCTGAAGTTGTTTGGCCCAGTGTGTTCTGAACTCAGGTTTATCACTCAAAGTCAATGTGTTTCTGCTCACCCGTGTCACAGTTCGATGGCTTTGCTTCCTCAAGGCCCCTGTGAAGTTTCCTTTTGTTCAGGCCATGCTGAAGAAAGGGAAGGAAAAGAGGGGAAATGTCTGGGGCCCTGGATCCTAGTGACAGCTCAGCACACAGTGATCTTGGACAAGTCACTGAACCTCTCTGAGACTCAATTTTCATATCTTTCAAACAGACAGAATAGTCTCTTCCTGTGTGTATCACACAGCCTTTGTGAGGGTCAAATGGGCAAGCACTTTCAAAGACAAAAATCCTGTGTGTGCCCAGGGGTGCCAGGGGGCAGGCTTGGGCCTCTGTGGAAAAATATTTGGGGACCCCAATCAAGGGTTGGTTTGTGTGCAACTGAAAGTGTTTGGGCTTCCCCTTCCTCTCATGTGCCAAGTATTAAGATCCAAAAAGCTTAATAGAAGAAATCTGTAGACTATTCTGAGCACCAGCTCAGGTCCTCTTATAAATGGATCCAAGAGTGTGGGAAGCTTTTTATTCTTGGTTAGTAGCAGAGTAACAACAGTTAAAAAAAGATAAAATATTTAAATGTTTAGGATAGAAATACATAGGGTAATCAAATGTTTGCATAACTGAATGTTACATGTTGTTGTTTAGTTGCTAAGTCGTGTCTGACTCTTCTGCAACCCCATGGACTGTAGCTCCTCTGTCCATGGGATTTCCCAGGCAGGAATACTGGAGTGGGTGGCCATTTCCTTCTCCGCGGGATCTTCTCAACCCAAGGATCGAACCCACGTCTCTTATGTCTCTTGCATGGACAGGCGAGTTCTTTAGCATTGAGCCAATGCTAATAAGCCCAAATATTATGTACATACAGTAAATGTTTTTACAAATATTTATTCAGTATTTTAGGGTGCTTGTTTCTTAAGAGACACTTGTGCCCAACACTGGGAAGATGCAAAGATTTTGAAAAAGACAGAGTTCTGGCCTCAAGGCTCTCCCAGTCCAGTTGGAGGATGGGGGACATGGTGGGTGGAGAGAGACCTCTGCACTTGCTATGCAGCGTGACAGTTGTAACTGCACAGGGAATCCAGCTCGGGCGCAGAGGCTGCAGACCATTGTGGGAAGGACTCTGGGAGGATGTGAACAAGAAGGGAATGCAGTCAGGATCCAGAAGAGAGAGGATGTTAATTGAATTATATGCTAATTTTCTAGCTCAGGGAGGGGCGGAGGAGGAAGCAAAAGCAGGGGCAGATTCCTCTTGCCAAACACTGAATGGGTGAAACATCATCTGCTCATTTGGGTATTTAACAATCGGTTATTAAGTGTCTCTGCATGGTGTCGGGAGCTGCTGTAGCACTGGGACACAGCAGGGAACAAAACACAGGCCCTGCTCTGAGAGAGGAGACAGTAAATGAGTGAGTGATGTAAGCTGATCATCCGATGGAGAGTCATGCTATGGAGAACATGTAAGCGGGAAGATTAGCCAGCTGCTGCAATAACAACAATAGTTGGAATAGCTTGAGTTCGATCCCTGGGTCGGGGAGATCTCTTTGAGAAGGAAATGGCAACCCACTCCAGTATTCTTGCTTGGAGAATTCCAAGGACAGAGGAGCTTGGTGGGCTACAGTCCCCAGAGTTGCAAAGAGTCAGACACCACTGGGTGACCAACACTTTCGCTTTCAAACTCAAAAGGGGCTAGTTCCTGATCATGTGCAAGATTCCTGGTCAGTGGGGAAGGCTCATTCAGGGACCCCATCTTCAGCATGCAGCCTCCAATTTCCTGAGGTTGCACGTGCATGCATGCTAAGTCACTTCAGTCTTATCTGACTCTTTGCAACCCCATGGACTGTAGCCTGCCAGGCTCCTCTGTCCATGGACTTCTCCAGGCAAGAATCCTGGAGTGGGTTGCCATGCCCTTCTCCAGGGGATCTTCCCAACCCTGGGACCAAACCCTTGGCTCTTATGTTTCCTGCATTGGCAGGCAGGTTCTTTTACCACTAGTGCCACGTGAGAAGCCCTCCTGTGGTTGACTCCATGCCAACCACGTGGCAAGGGGGAAGGGGAGTCTTGTGGATGGGTCTTACCTCAATGCCTGTAAGTCAGTGTGACACTTGTGCTCACGTTCTATTGGTTAGAACTTCCTCACATGGCCACGCCCAACTGCAAGGGGGACTGGGATATGTAGTCCAGACATCTGTCTGGGAAGGCACAAAGAGCCAGGATCTTGGTGAACTTCTCGGAGTCTGCTCCCTGGGTAAAGGGTAAGGAGTGTGTGGGGCTGTTAATTTATAGAGCAGCCCTTAATGACTGCTGTCCCACAGCATCCAGCAGGAAAGAAAATGTAGGGATCTCAGAGAGGAAGGAGAATGTTACCGTTTCCCCAGACCAAACATATGGTGACTACAGAAGGAGTGAGGTTGCTTGGGGCACCCGGTGGCTACACAGACCCTGGGTGCACTTTTGATCTTGGAAAAAGACAGCCATCAGCCTTCCTGCTTATGGACTCATTTCGTCCTGCTTCTTATGGAGAGTAAGTGACCAGGCTTTTGGGGACTTGGCTGCCCAAAGTACCTACAGTTGTAGGAATCAAGTATCTACCATCCTTTAGAAACCCAGGAGTCAGTTGTGCTCTTGAATTTCAACACCAACATTGGGAAAGTAGCTGAAAGTGGGGGTGTTGTGCTGAGTTGGTTACACGTCAGCACATGTGCAGGAAGTGGAAGGAGGGAGCATGGTTTTAAGGACAGGCTGACCAGGAGCCTTTGTGGAGGAAAAGGGGGTTGGGCTGGATGGATGGAATGTCTAGAAGCTCTGCCTTCTGAAATCCTTGGCCCCCGAGCTTCTTTTCCCACCTCCCTGCCCCATCTCCAGGGTAATCACTTCTCAGTCTTCCCACCCCAGTGACAGTCTGGCTGCCCCAGGCTTTTAGAGCTTGGTTGGGAAGCACGCACAAGGTCTAATCCATGGAACCAGATGTCACATCTGGTTGTGTGTCTCATTCTTGAGTAGGAGCCCAAGGAATATGCCAAGGCATTCGGGATGAAGGAAGCTTCCTTCTCTGATTTCATGTCTTCCTCCCGGGGCCACGTGGTAGAATCCTATTTTCCATTTTTAAACCTTTAAAAATGTATGCTCAGCTTAGCTGAAAAAGAGCATCAAAACCCAAACCAAACATCCTTCGTGAAACATAACTCTTCTAAATCACTCTTCGTATCCATTCCCTGTGACTGCACAGATGTCGTCTATAGGTTTGTATGTGTTTCATTTTGCTCTTTTTTTTTTTTTATTTTACTCCTCTGCTTCCCAAACTTCAGTCCTAAGATCTGCCCTGAGAGAAATCAGACAACAGCAAGAAAGCAGCAGGTGGTGTGTTTCTTTGCCACGTTGCTTCAGCGTTCCACCTTTGTGCTATCTCCTGTGTGATACCTGCTCCTTAAGATGATGGTCAAGCACAGACCAGGGAAGCCACACAGCCTATGTTGGAATCGGAGCTCTGCCTTTAACCACCTATGTGACCTTGGGCCCCTTGCCTAACCTCTCCAGGCCTCTAAGATGGGGATGATAATGGTGTTGCCCCCAAAGCGGGCTGGAAGGAGGAGTTAGTGTATCTGAAGTGCCTCGGGTAGTACCCAGAGCACCCTAGAGGGTAATAACTGTGTTTGTTATTATCACTGTTGTTATTATTGCTGTTGTTATTAAGGCTCCTTCAGGATTCAGGCGAAAGGAGGGGTGGAATAAGCCTACACACTGGGTTCCAAGGTTCTGGGTATCTCCCAGCCCAGTTTGTGGGGCCTGGCCGTAGTCCTCTGTGGGAGGAAGGAGCCACCAACCTCTTGCATCCTTCTGTGGCCATGGTGGCTGCGGTGGGGGGTGGCCTGAGGAGGAAGTGGGCAAGGGAAAGGCCCAGAGCTGGACCTGGGACCTTTTGTTGGGATTCCCCACACAGAGCTGAGGCGAAGGAAGGAGACAAGGGGATCCCCCAGAAAGTGGCCTCATCTGTGGCCCCCCTCTGTCAGCCTTGAATGGGAGAGACCTTTGAAGACCCGCTCTGTGCTTCTGTGCGCTTGGGTCATCCGCTAGTTCCTTGTTAAGAGTTTTTTGGCAATATCCTGAACCAGTCCGCTCAGGCTAGTTATGCTGTGGTGACAAACAGCCCTGCATTGCAGTGGCTGTATACCCACAGGACTGCGCACACAGTAAGGCGAGTATGTTGCTCACTCACATCACATGTCAGCTGAGACTCTTTACAAAAACATTTCACTCTGCAATCTGGGCTGAAAAAGCAGCACTCATGTGGGAACAGAGAGGAGGAAGAGAGATGGCAGATTTATTCAGAGGTGGCAGAAGTCACTTCCCATCACATCTCACTGGCCAAAACAGGTCGAATGGCCAGACCAGACTCAGTGGGATGGGAAGTATGATTCTCCCGCCAGTGTGTGACTAGCACGGAGGGGTAGCAACTATTTTGAACAGCTGTTGTCACCTATTGCATTCCTGATTCCCCTCTGTGCTGCTCCAAGGTGACAAGTGCATCACCATTTAGCTTCATCAGGGACACTCAGAGGCCAGACGTGTATGTGTGGCAGGTAGTGGCTGAGAACTGGCAGAAAAGACATTGGCTCAGGGGATATAGGAGGTGAAGGGGCAGGACACAGGATGGATGGAGTTCTGACCAGCCTTCAGGTGCAGCCTTGCCCCTTTATGGCTGAAATTAACTAGCTGGCTGGGGGACACGAGCTATCTTTTTCATTAATCTGCACCCTTGAAGATGGCAGCAATGACACCTTCATGTGATGGCATTTTCTTCTGGCTGATATATAACGGAAAGTCAGGTGG